AAGTGAAATCAGTCCTCCTTTCCTCCAAACTTGAAGGAATTATTCCAAAATTGAAAAAAGAGAATCGATATGAGTGTAGCTGTCATGGAATGTGAATATAAACATTATTCAAATGTTATTCATATGCTTTCCAGTCTCCCACTGAATATCTCTCTCTCTCTCTCTCTCTCTCTCTCTCTCTCTCTCTCATGTTTATCCCTCTATATTTGAATTTCTGGGTGTCTAGACCCCATATTCTAGGTAAAAGGAGTTTTCATCAGGAAAGCCCTGGATTTTTATGAGGCTTGGTTTCATTACATAATCATGCAACTGAAATGATGGAACTGGAAAAAGATGAACCAAAAGTATTAAATACACAGTACATTCCTATCTTCATAGAATACAGGAGTCCCAGTAAAGTAATCGGTATATCATTAAAACTTTGTGATTCCTATAGAGTACACAAAGCTAGTCCACTTGCTTCTCAAGCATTTGGTGCCTATTTATCTGAGAGATGTGTTCACAGAACAATGTGCATCTCTCTCTAGACTTAGGTCTGCTTAAGTCTGTATCTGTCAAATAAAACAGAGAACAATGGAGAGATTTTATTTGAAAGGTGCATTGCAAGGGGGGAATGGACTTTTGCAATAGGGCGAGGGGGACTACTGCAATAGGAAGAATGCTGTAGTTAAAAGATATACAGGCAATTCAAGAGTTAGGCAAAAAAGAGTTTTATGGAAAGGAATAAATAAAGCTAGAAAGAACTGATTACAGAGTAGGATAAAAAGGTGATATGATCAGAAAATGTATCAGAGAATGTTTTACTCTGAGTCTAGCCTAGTCTCAGAAAGCTATGTTTGCTGGCTCAGGCTTGGGGTGGATCAAAGTTTCAGGGCCTGGAGCAAGAAACGAAGGTTAGCCAAAGTTTGATTAATACATATTTTGTTTTGATTGATCAGTGGGGATAAAACAGTTGAGATAATCATTCAGGAAGCAGAGAATGTGAATTTTCATGGTCTGTGTCTGGCTTTGTCATAGGTAAACAAAGCGGCATCCACGAGTCTTACCTAAGTCAGATTGAGAAAGGTAGTTCTTTGCAGGAAGCCATTTTCCAGAACATAAAAGGATGGGAAGATTCCTTTAGCTTTTGCTATTTTACAGGAGCATGGGGCTCAGGTAAAATTTGAAATTGTCAAGACCTAGTGAATTGAGGGTTGCCCCAAGTTTGCCCTAAAGTAATGCATGACTTTGGTTTTTATGATCCTGCCACCATTACCATAGATATTCATACTACACTTATCATTAAATTGAACCAACATACTTTTGTTTAATTTTTTTTTTAGTTTCATAAATAGTTATAGAAGTCTGTACAAACAGAGCCTGTACAACATTACTTTCTTTCCTTTGGAGTCCGAATTCCCTTGCCACGTGATGATACTTTAAGTGTCTGAATATAGCTATCTTGTTCCTCATGGATTCCTTTCTCTCATTTTAAAGTATCACGTCAACTACCAAACATGGTAATCAAAGCAGAGTGGAATTCAAATACTTCTGTCTTTCTAGATACTATGGGTATATTAATATAGTTTAAGAGCACATTGGCTTTTAAAGGTGGCTGCACTATAGATCCCTTTTTCTCTGTTTTAATCTCAGCTCAATCTTACTGGTTGCTAGTAAGTCTGGACCCTGAAACTATTCTCTCATATCGAGCTAAGAGTTGACAGACTACCTCCTTTTGCTTGTACATGTACTGCTATTAATTTACTGTTATTAACCAGTTCACTCTACAAAGTTCAAAAGTTGTATGCCAAGGACAAATCTGATTTATTAGCAAGGGTGTCCCCTGACCACACTCTGAGGTATGATTACCATAGGATATCCCAGGTAGTGGGAGTCATTTGAAGTCAGATGAGTTGTAATGTCATGGTTCCAGTGAATTAACATCCTAGCCAAAGGTTGCAGACATAGGACACCAAGTCCTATACTTTCAGGGGAGCTGGTGAGATCTAAGAATGTTTATAGGCCACTGGAAAAATAGGTTAAGGCTCAAGAGAAGGTTTCACTCTCACTGGGGAGCTGAACAGAAAGCTAATAAAAATAAAAAATAGAATCAAGCATTTTTCCACATATCTTACTTAATTCTCACTATAACCACAATGAAAATGGCATTTTATCATTCCATTTTATGGAGGAGGAAAGCAAATCATAGAGTCACATAGCTAACTAGGTGGTAGAGCCAACATTCAAACCCAGGCATGCTGACCAGCTCCAGTATTGGTTATGTTAAACATTATGTGGTGTTACAGTCAGAAATACAATGTGTGTGACTGTGTCCCCCTTCATGTTATTCAAGATTGGTTCAAAAACATTGCAAAGCCGACCTTGCAGGTTAAAGATACTAGCATTTCCTGCTAAGGAGCACTGGAAAAGTCAGGTACTGACATCATGTGCAGGTCCTAATATCTATCCTCAGTAAACTTTTCCTTTGTTACATTTCAGCATAATATTCAGTCTGAAGAGCTTTTAAAATTTTTTTTGTCATATGATGTTTGGGTTATTTCTTTAAGATAACATTGACAAATTTAATCCATATTGTGGTTTAAAATATTGTCTAGAACTAGATGAAGTATGAAACGTTATGACTTACCGTTAAAAATATTCTTATAGACTGGCATTCATCTATTTATCAACTTTCTTTGAATATGGTTCCTCAAGTAGTTATTACTTTACACCAACAATCTTGAATCCAACCTACATCTCAATTCTGGCTCTAAGGACATATTATGAGGACTTGTGAAATGATGTGTTAAATTCCATATTACTTTGTCTAAAGTATTTCCTTGATCTGCCATTCTAAGAATCCTGTCCAAGACAGCATTGAAATTAAGCTGACATGATTAGTTGTTCTGTTAATTTATACTGGGTTTCACTGATTATTGCTTTTCCTTTTGAGCTTCCATAAACAAATTGTTCAGGTGTAGTTTGTATGAAATTTATCTTTCTGCCTCTTTTTGAAAATCATTATGAAGTCTTCTGACTTCTAATGACATTTCTCTTATTATCTACTATTCCTCCAATATCAGACTATAGTTCAATTCTATAGAAACTAATGTTTTTCAGTTGAAGAGATATAAATGCATTAAGAACACTTGCTTATAAATAATTTCTTCAACCATTTAGATGACCATTTTATTTTGTGCTGTCCAAAAAGGTTGACTTGTTTCCTTTAAGTTGTCATCAATATTATAAACAGGCACCAAGTTGTGAGTCTCATTTCTTGCTTTGAATGTAACTAAAAACATGCCCTTTTCCCACATATCACGGATTCCATTTTGACATAGCTCCTTATTTTTTTTTCTTTTTCTTTTTCCTTTTTTTTTTTTTGAAACAGGATCTCACTCTGTTGCTCAGTCTGTGGAGTGCGGTGGTGTGATCACAGCTCACTGAAGCCTCGACCTCCTGGGCTCAGGTGATCCTCCCACCTCAGCCTCCCGAGTAGCTGGGACTACAGACACACACACCACGTCTGGCTAATTTTTATACTTTTTGCAGAGATGGGGTTTCACCATGCTGTTCAGGCTGTTCTCAAACTCCTGCATGGCTCCTTTCTTTAAAGGAGTCTATAATTTCTCTTTCCAAACAGTTAATTCTTGTTAATTTGAAATCTTTCTGTAGTTGAAATTCTTTACCACCATTTTGTCTTGTGCCTGTCTAAGATTTTATGAATTTATTTTTCACCCTTTCATGACTTATCTTCACTTCTCTGCCATTCCCTTTTCCTTTAGGGTACTCTTCTTTCTCAAAACTAAAACCTCTTTCGAATATACCTCTTCAGTAAGCCTCCCCACAATTAATTCTGATTTTAATGACTCTTTTTCTTTATATAATTTTTGCATTTGTGTATTCAGTTCTAATTATTTTAATATTTGATATTCTTAAATGGCTTTATGTTTTGAGATATTCTTTTTTTTTTTTTTTTTTTTTGAGACGGAATCTCGCTCTGTCATCCAGGCTGGAGTGCAGTGGCCAGATCTCAGCTCACTGCAAGCTCCGCCTCCCAGGTTCACGCCATTCTCCTGCCTCAGCCTCCCGAGTAGCTGGGACTACATTAGCTGGGACTACGGGCGCCCGCCACCTCGCCCGGCTAGTTTTTTTGTATTTTTTAGTAGAGACGGGGTTTCACCGTGTTAGCCAGGATGGTCTCGATCTCCTGACCTCGTGATCCTCCCGTCTCGGCCTCCCAAAGTGCTGGGATTACAGGCTTGAGCCACCGCGCCCGGCCTTGTTTTGATATATTCTTGTTTCCCAACAAAATAATGAAATAATTTAGAAAGGGGCTAAGGCTTTTGTTTTTGTTTTTTTCTACCTCAGCTCCTGACATACTTTTTATGTGATTGCTATGTTTTAAATACTTATGAAAAAATGACAAACATAACAAATGATAAAGATTAATATTTGGTTAGTTTTAGCAACAATTGTTGCTCTTCAGGTAGAAGTTCTAGTTGAAGATTCAAAGATGTGTAAAGGTGGCAAGCCAAAAATAAAAATTGTTCACTTTATAAAGAGTGTCCACTGCCTTGTCTTGATTATAAGAAAAAAATTGACTGAGCTGATTTTGAACATCATAAGATACTCTCTTGACTGTATGATGTAAAAATCAAAGATAGAAGCCTGTAGCTAAGGTAGTTCAACTGCTTTATGAGTTGATATTTTATGTTGTTTCCAAAATATAATTAATGTGAAAATTGTTCTAATATTAAAAAGTCTAAATTTATAATTTGGAGATGCAAAATTAATGTATAATTTATGTCTAGGATGACTATGTACTTTTAAGTAGACAAGACAGTTGTGGAATGAAAAGGAGAAAGTAATGTAGTAAATGTAATTGCTATGTACATACTTGCCCAAAAGAAGGTTTCTTCGTAAAAAGACAAGTCTATGATGATATATGTATATATACATGTACAATATAAGAGAATTTTTAATCCTATCATGTTATCTGTCATACTGAAAACACTTTATATGAATTTTGTAATAACACGGGTTTGCTCACAGAAATCCAATGTAAATCGAGGAGACTTCAAAAGAACTTTAAGCAGAATAATTGATTTTACTCTAACATGAAAGTGGAAGAGGAAGGAGTAGACAACACATTTCTATCATCCACCAGTAGATCTGGAAAAGTGGCAAGGTTTTTCTTATAAAATTTGTTTCTTTAATTATGATGCTTTGTTTAATAATTATGAATTCTATATTTATAATTTTCCTCCTATGTTTTCTTATAGATTCAGGAAAGCATGGAACTAACTCAAGAGGAACATCAGCTCATTAATAACATTGTGGCTGCTCATCAAAAATATACTATTCCTTTAGAAGAAACAAATTTGTTTGTGTTCATTACTGAAAGAAATAATGTATAATTATGTTAGGAAGCAAAGGCACAAGCATAACAGCTTAAAATTTCAAAAGATATTTGAAAAAATAAAATTTATTAATCTTATTGCTTTTTTATGGGTTAGCTGCAGGAACATGCAAATTCTGAACTGAACTTTTTGCGACTTTCAGAGACAGCAGTCCTACACATATGTGGGCTAATGAATTTTACCAAGAGGCTCCCAGGTAATTACCTTTGGGAAAAATTAATTTAATACTTAAGCTAATTTTATAAAAAGTTCCCTGTTTTAAGGGAAGTGGGTATTTTAGGAAAAGGAAAAAAAAGTCTCTATTTTTTTCACCAACTTTTTGTTTCTTTCTCTTTTTCTTTTTCTTTTTTTTTGAGACAGGATCTTACTCTATTGCCTAGGCTGGAGTGCAGTGGCATGATCACGGCTCACTGCAGCCTTGACTTCTTGGGCTCATGTGATCCTCCCACCTCAGCCTACTGAGTAGCTGGGACTGTAGGCATGCACCACCATGCTTGGCTAATTTTTGTATTTTTTGTATGCAGAGGGTTTCACCATTTTGCCCAAGCTGATCTTAAACTCCTGGGCTCACAAAGCTGCCTGTCAATGCAAAAATATGTTTATTTTGTCTGCTTTAATCAGATGGGTGAAAAATCTAAATATTTAAAAATACTGCTCAGAGAGTAGAATTTAGATAAAGAGGCTAGGAAGAGTAGTATGGTGAGGGGAGTGAGGATGGTTAATGGGTACAAAAATATAGTTAGAATTAACAAGATCTAGTATTTGATATCACAACATGTTGATTATAGTCAACAATAATTTATTGTACATTTAAAAATAACTAAAAGAGGCTGGTGCAGTGGCTCACACTTGTAATTCCAGCACTTTGGGAGGCCGAGGCAGGAGGATTACTTGAGCCCAGGAGTTTGAGACAAGTCGACTCAACACAGCAGGACCCCATTTCAACAAAATATTAAAAAATCTCAGGCCTGGTGGTGTATGCCTATGGTTCCACCTACTCAGAAGGCTGAGGTTAGAGGATTGTTTGAGCCCAGGAGTTTGAGGTTACAGTGAGTTGTGATCACACCACTGCACTCCAGCCTGGGCGACAGACTGAGAACGCTGTCTCTAAACAACAACAAAAAACCTCACAAAACTATAAGTGGAATATTTGCAACACAAAGAAATGATAAATGCTTGAGGTGATGGATACCCATTTTCCCTGATGTGATTATTACACGTTGTATACCTGTATCGAAATATCTCATGTACCCCATAAATATATATACCTACTCTATACCCATAAGAATTAAAAATAAAAAAATAAAATTATTCAAATGACTTCAAAGACTTGAGAATTAAGACAAACAAAATGCTGTTTGTTTTTGGAAAATGACTTTTTTTTCGATAAAGCATGTAACAAAGAAAATTCCCTGTACAATACTGAAATATCAAACCACTGTTGGCCAAAACTTAGCTATCTATTTACATGTACAGATATCTCATTCTAAACATAAATTCTTCAAGGCTAAATCCACTATGTTTAATTTGCTCTTGCCATAGGAAAAGTATTATTTAGTTCTGATAAAAGTGTCCCAAAATATTACCATGTGGAATCAAAATTTTATTTCAGATTTGAAATAAGATATTATGATTGTTCTAAGGGAGCATTTAGGATTCATACTATTATATGAATAATTTAAAATGTTAAAATACTACGTCTGAAAATTATCTTTTCATTATCGATTTCAAACAATTATGTGATCTTCTCTTTAAAGGATTTGAAAATTTGACCAATGAGGATCAAACTGCACTACAGAAGGGATCAAAAACTGAAGTGATGTTTCTCCATGGGGCCCAACTTTACAGTCAGAAAGAATCAGACTCTGAATGTAAAAAAGGATTTCTTTCTAACTTTAATGTTAATAGTTATTGTTAAATTTAGCAATAAATTGTATCACATTGAGCTATTTTTTATTTTAATTTTGCCAGTTACTATAGGCAAAAATACTTCATAATAGCTCTTTATAAGTTGTTTTATAAAAAGCTATTTTTTTATTATATAGCATCATGGGAAACACATTTTTGAAGGGTCTCCTATACAATCTTTCTATAAACTACAAACTATTAATTTAACTTCATGTTTCAGTAATAAAAATTAAAAATCTATCATTTGCTGGGAGTATTTCTGATCTAACAACTATGCTGGATTCTGAAAGATTGAGTTTAAAGATTAGAAAAAAATTCAGGCTTTATATTTTTCCTTTTAACTAGATTCTGTGAGAATATTAAATCATTCAGATTATACACCGAATTGTCACAGTAGGAGTGGTGACAGAAGTCTTATTTGTTCTATGGAAAAATGTTACAATGAAGAATGTCCTTACACTACTCTAACTGGTAATATGACTCAATATGAAATGTTATATTGGATGGGAAAATTTGTATATAATGTTTCACTTTCATATACTGCTTTGAGATACAATGATAATTTCCATATGTTTGATTCTACCCTATGTTTGGATGAAAATACATTTTTGTATCAATTTTTTAGGTATTACTGAAGAATTTATTACCACACTGTTTTACTTCTACAGAAGAATGAGCAAACCTGATACTACTAATACTGAATATACTCTGATTGCAGCAACAATTGTTTTCAGGCAAAAAGTTTTTTTCATGTGAAAACCATTCAGTGGTAAAAATCTGTATTAAATTTGGCAATGAAATGATGAGGTTTGTGGTTACTAAATTATTAATTACAGCCAAATGTACCAATTTTGTTTTATCACAATTTCCTTCTCTACAGGAGCATTCCTTTAAGCTTATATACATGCTATAATTTTTTGCAGCTTAAAAAATGCTTTCTTGACCTCATATCCACTTTCATTTACTCTCTTATTTCTCTGTTCCACTTCACAGAAAAAAATTTCTTTAAAGGATTGTGTATACTCCTGTCTCCATTCCTTTGGTTAACTCCTAAACCCTCTACAGTAACATTATGTCCTCTCCTCTCCATACCACCATAACTAGTTAATATCTTTAGGATCTTGGCATTGCTGATTCCGGTGGTCAATTCCTAGTCCTCAGCTTTCTTGACCCATGAGCTACATTTGACAGAACAGATCACGTCCTCTCTCTTAGAACACTTTCATCACTTGGCTTCAGTTGATCACTTCTTCCTTCTTGACATGCATTTTTTTTTCTTGATTTCCAAGACCTCACACACTCTTGATTTTCCTCTTTAGTGGTTGCACTTTCAGTTTCTTTTGTTAATTCCTCTTCATCTGCCACAGTGACAAACGACAAGAATATTCCAGGGCTCAGTTCTCTTTTTTCTGTACTCACTTCCTTTGCAATTTCATCCTATCTCATGGCTTTAAAGGCCATGTATATGCTGACCACTCCTAAATTTATTATACATACCAACCTGGAGTGCTCCCCCAAACTCCATTAAATAGCCTATTCAAGATTTTTAACTTGCATATCTAGTAGGCATATCAAATTTAACATGCTTGAAAGTGAATTCCTAGTTGCCTCCCCCTCCATCCTTCTATATTTGTTCTCCATCTCTACTAAATGGTATTTTCCATCCTTGAAATCGTATATGCTAAAATTTTTTGTCATCCTTAACTTCTTTCTTTCTCTTATACCCATATCAAATATACAACAAATCCCACTGGGTCTGCTCTCAAAATATATCCAGAACTAAACCAGAACTTACTATTTCTATCCTTATAATCCTAATTTAAACTAGTCTCCTAACTGGCTTTTTCTGTTTCTGCCCTTGCTTCTCTAGAATCTATTCTCTATACAGGAGCCAGAGTAATTCTTCGAAAATGTAAGTCAGATCATGTGATACACCTCCGCTCATGACCCTTAAATAGCTTCCTATTTTACACAGATTAAAGCCAAAGTTCTTTTCATCATTGCCTATTACTATTCATTTTGCTTATTCCATCCCAGCCATGCTGCTTTTGACGTAGATATTCCTAGAAAATTTCAAGCAGGCTCCTGAAACAGGTTCTAGTGTATTTGATAAGTCTTCTGCCTAGAAATCTCTTTCCCCAGATAGTCATATGACTCCCTCATTCACTATCTTAGATTTCTGCTAAATGCCATTTTATCTCTGACTCGCCTTTGAAAATTAGTTACTACACCTTACACTAAATTCTTATCCTCTTCCCTGTTTTTTTCCTCTATAACACACCACTCTGCTATATTACATTATTACATTTAAGTGTGTATTACATATACACATTTAAAAAATGTGTATATGTCTCTTTCCTCCTTGACTCCTCTCAGACCCAGAATATAAACTCAGTGAAGGGAGAAAATTTTGTCTATTATGTTCACTGCTGTATCACTAGCACAATGACTGGACGGATGAATGAATGCTGTCTAAACATTAATAAATTATTGGTTGGCTCTTATATTTTACAGCTGGATACTTGAAGAGCTTTACCTTTTATTTACTGTTGACCTTGGGAAAATTACTGAATTTTTCTTAATTTCAAGTAAGCCCTTGGCTGATTGTATAATCTTTTTTTTTTTTTTTTTTGAGTTGGAGTTTCGCTCTTGTTACCCACGCTGGAGTGTAGGGGTGTGGTCTTGGCTCACTGCAACCTCTGCCTCCTGGGTTCAAGTGATTCTCCTGCCTCAGGCTCCTGAGGAGCTGGGATTACAGGTGTCTACCACTATGCCTGGCTAATTTTTTGTATTTTTAGTAGAGATGGGGTTTTACCATGTTGGCCAGACTGGTCTCAAACTCCTGACCTCAGGTGATCCACCAGCCTCGGCCTCCTAAAGTGCTAGGATTACAGGCTTGAGCTACCGTGCCTGGCCTGGCTGCTTTTATATTCTTATAACTACTTACTGACCCTTCTTTCCTATGTAACTTTGTGGAAATTACTTATTTTTCTAAGTTTCAAGAAGCTCATCTGGAAAATGGTGGTAATAATAGAACTTACCTCATATGGTATTGTGGCAACTACCTAAAATAATGCATAGAGGCAAGTCACTTAGCATAATATTTAGCATATATTAAGGGCTCAGTAAATATTTGTTTTTTATTATTTAAAAGCTGCATTGTTTTAAAAGATTATTTATCTTTTGCTACTTTCCAATATACATTAAGATAAATATGATGATATTTTTCAGATCGTCCATGCCTTAAGAATAAGCAATATATGGAAAATTTACAAGAACCAGTTTTACAAATATTGTATAAATATTCAAAAATGTATCATCCAAAAGACCCACAGCTTTTTGCTTATCTCATATGGAAGTTTACTGAACTGAGAACTCTGAATTACAACCATTCAGAAAAACTTAGCACTTGGAAAACAAAGGACCCCAAATTGGCTACTTTACTCTCTGAGAAGTGAAATTTGTATTCTTGCTGAAGTTTTAGAATGTTGTAGTTTGTTTTAAACTTCCTAAATCTGAATTGTTTACTTTATCGTATAGGATGACTGATTTGGACAACACGAATGGTATTGCTGTGTTACCAACATATCACCATAAAATGGACATCATCAATGCTCATCGAAATTTTATCAAAATTTTATGGAATATAGAACTATCACTGAGGGATATCTAGGATTCTTTTATGATTGGACTTAAAAAAAGCAAAAGTTGTTTCCTCATGGTTCCTTCAAAAGGAGCCAGAGAGTTATTACCTAAAGAAGCTTCACTTTTTTCATTGAGTAAAACATTGAATGAAAATATATAAATTTATGGATATAAGAAAGGCTAGCTAGTGGAAATGGTTGTAATCAGAATAAAGAGAGTTTGGCCGGGTGTGGTGGCTCACACCTGTAATCCAACACTTTGGGAGGCTGAGGCGAGTGGATCACCTGAGGTCAGGAGTTCAAGACCAGCCTGACCAACATGGTGAAACCCTGTCTTTACTAAAAACACAAAACAAAATACAAAAATTAGCCAGGCATGGTGGTGCGTGCCTGTAATCCCAGTTACTCCAGAGACAGAGGCAAGAGAATGACTTGAACCCGGGAGGTGGAGGTTGCAGTGAGCCGAGATCACACCCTTGCACTCCAGCCTGGGCAACAAGAGTGAAACTCCATCTCAGCAATAACAGTGACAACAACAACAACAACAACAACAACAACAACAACAGAATAAAGAGAGTTTGTGAGCCTCATTAACTAAAGCCAGACTGATGGAATAAGGAAGTAACATTTTAAACCTATTCCTGTTACAGCATTTTATGAATTATTAAAGACAAGCAAAACCTGTTCAAATCTTATCATTTCTTAAAATGCCTTAAAAAAAGAGATGCTTTATAAAAAAGTAGAAATTGTGTGATGGTGAGAATAATGAAAAATTAAAATACAAATTATTAAAATATTTTAACATATATTTGGAAATTAAACATAATTTGCTTCTCATTCTGGCAGAATATTTTAACATTTTTGCCAACATCTTTTGTGGAAAAAAACGAAGTTCTTAAAACCAGAAATCTTTCTACAAATATTTAAGTCCTTATATGGACAGGATGTTAATATGTTAAATTAAATTTCATGTGAAATACATGGAAGTGAGAAATTCTATGGTGGCACCATTGCTTTGAAAGACTGATTTTAAGTAAATAAAATATGGTAAATTTAATATAACATTAGGAGTAGCATTTTGATTTTCAATAAAGACCAAAGTGATCATAGTTGAAATTTTCACCGTTGTAAAATTTTTAAAAATATTGAGATATTAGATTTATACTCTCAATTGAATGAAAAATTTTAATTAGATCAATTATTGCCTCTGGTGATACTTTGTGTATATTCTTAGTATCATCTCTCTGAGGTGATACCTCTCTGAGGTAGTACCTTATCTTTTTCAGAATATCTGGACTCAGTTTCCTTAAATAGCAAAATGAAGGAGTTAAACTGGATCATCCTTAACTGCTCAAAAATTTTATCAGAAATGATTGTTTCTGATTATACAAAGTGAGTTCTTAAAAATATTGCTAAAGCCCTTAGAAAAAGCATCAATTATATTATGATGCCCAGAGAAAGTTGGAAAACAGAGTCAATGGTGTATTCAAAATGGAGCTCATTATTTTATTGCTCAAAATTAAGTAACTTAGCACTAGGATAATGATAATAGCTAGTTACTCAAGCCTGAAACCAGTCAGTCATCTTAGACTGCTCCCTTTCTTTCACTTATTATTAAAAAGTTATCAAATTCTATTAATTTTACTTCTTAAATATCTTTTACATTTGACATCTCCTCTTCAGTTCCACTGTCCGTGTCATAGCTCAGGTCCTCATGTCTCACCCAGGCTATTAAAACTGTCTCCCTACTCTGGTCTCTTAAGCCTAAATCATCCCTCATACTACAAGTTTTCTTCCGAACTCGATCATGTAATCCTTTCTGCTCAAAATTCTTCGGGATCTCCTTCCACAAAGTCTAAAATCCAGACACTTTTTCAAGGCCTTTCTATAATACTTGCTCTCTCGCTCGCTCTTTTTTTATTTAAGAGAGTCTCATTCTGTGGCTCAGACTGGAGTGCAATGGCGCGATCTCAGCTCACTGCGACGTCCGCCTCCCCGGTGGTTCAGGCGATTCTCCTGCCTCAGCCTCCGAGTCGCTGGGGCTACAGGCGTGTGCCACGTGCCTGGCTAATTTTGTATTTTTACTGGAGACGGGGTTTCGTCATGTTGGCCGGGCCGGTCTCAAACTCTTGGCCTCAAGTGATCCGCCCTCCTTGGCCTCCCAAAGTGCTGGGATTACAGGAGTGAGCCACCACGCTCTTGAAATCTCTAGTGTCATCTCTTGCCATTTTCTCCACTTAATCCTTACACAGTACGCTTCTTGGGCTTAGTCATACTAATCTCTTTTACAACTCCAAGGCCTTTGCTAGCCTTCCGTCAGCCAGCAATACTCTTTTCCCATTCCCTCTCCTTCTCCCCCTTCTCCCCGCTCTCCCCCCTCACTCCATTCTCCCCGCTCTCCCCCGTTTCCTCCCTCTGCCCCCTTTCTCTCCTCTGTCTCCTCTCTCTTCTCTCTCTCCTCTCTCTGTCTCTTTGAGACACAATCTGGCTCTCTTGCCCAGACGGGAGCCAGCGACAGGATCATTAGCTCACTGCAGCCTCTATCTCCAGGACTCAAGCGATCTTCCCCTCTCTGCCTTTTAAGTAGCTGGGACCACAGGTGCGCGCCACCACACCCGGCTATTTTAGGATAGGCAGGGTCTCACTACGTTGCCCAGACTGGTCTTGAACTCCTTCCTGGGCTCAAGCAATCCTCCCGCTTTGGCCTCCTAAAGTGTTGAGATTACAGGCGTGAGCCAATAGCCCGCCTAGCCAACTCTCCATTCACTCATTCTTATGTGAAGCAGTAACAGAACCATACCACATGTGTGGAGCTTCTCCTGACTCCACAAGCCACCGTGAGAGCCACTTTCCCTACGTCCCTATCATAGGAATCACCCTAAATGATTATACGGCTTTGTAATTGTTTGCCCATCTGTTTCCTTCCTAAGATTGTGACCTCTTGGAGGGCAGAAATGGATTTTTCACACTCAGCTTCAGTCTGTCATAGCGCCTGACATTTTCCCCAGCATTCTTCGACAACAGAAGCCTAAAGAACTTCCACTCCAAGGAAATACAGAATCCGGGAAGGAATTGTTCCTAGCGAGAAGGGAAATCTCGCGAGATTCAGGTCCTGGGAGCCTGGCAAGCCCACGCAGCGACGGTTATTTAGCCGTTGAACTGCCAGCCGCCCGGGGCCCACGCGCTCCGGGCCGCTCAGCCTGAGCGATTTCCCGCCTTTTCTGAGGTTCTGAGGCGGGAGCTATTGGTTCTTTCTGTTGCCCTCATAGACCATAGGTAGCAGTTCGCGTGGGCACGGAGCCCACGGTTTCCCGCTAGTTCTTCAAAGGTGAGGGCAGGTGCCCCGAGTTCTTTTCTTGGGGACTGAGCCCAGAGCGGGGCGATATTGTGCTACTGCGCCTCCCCGCCGCAGCCCGCCGCCGTTTTCTTTTTAATAGTGGTCCAGGAACTTAAGACAGTTCCTCCTGGCGATGTGGTGGAATTTACCAGGGCAGGAGAAGGGAACGGGCTTTCTTTTCAGGCCAGCGTGGCGGCGGGCGGTGGGGCGAAAGTGAGAAGGAAACGAGGGTTTATCCCTTTGCCCACTCCGTGGTAAGCGACCTTGTAGGGCTCCACTGTAGCGAGAGCCCCGTGGATTCCTTTTTTTTAGCCATTTAGTTTGTAAACATCACTTTAAAGAATACATAGTGTATTCACGGCACACGGTGAAAAAAACTTTCCTTCCCCTCCCGCCCCCAGGGCAGTAGATATTTACAACCGTAACAGAAAATGGAAAAGCAAAAGCCCTTTACGTTGTTCGTACCACCGAGATTAAGCAGCAGTCAGGTGTCTGCGGTGAAACCTCAGACCCTGGGAGGAGATTCCACTTTCTTCAAGGTAAATTTCCATGTGACTCTTAATTGGACTCTTCTTAACTTTAGGGAAATGAAGAAAAGTGTACTTTCTTCCTGGTGGTGTTTTATAATTATTTCTTCTCAATAAATGGTCTCATTTACCCAAGAATTTTGAATCCCATTGCTTTAAATGAACAGTGAGCATTATTATGTAGGCATCATTCATTTAAATAATAACTGCTGCCATAGAACTCTGCATACATAGTGGAACCTGCTTATTTTAATCCTCCTTCTTCCCGTATTTGATTCGAGGCAACTTATAGGACAGATACTACAAGGCAGTAGAATATGTTAGGAGAAAATTAGGAAAATTATCAAGAAAAATGAGGACTATTTGGACAAATGCCTATATATGAGTAATAATTCGTGTTGTGACTGGGCTTCAGATTTGACTCTGAGCTTCCTAGTGGATAGGACAAAGAGGGAAATTCATTTGTGTAATGGAGTTATCATTGGATAGGAGGAATTATACCAAGTTTCCCAGGTGAAACAGAGCTTTAAAAAAATTATTTTAAAAAATTTATCATCTGGATCCTTATATTGGAGATGCAATGATGCAATGAATATTTTACTTGTATATGCTGTAAAAAAATTCTTGTTGCCGCTATAGGCAATAGTATATTATTAAATGCTATTCAGTAAAGACAATCTTTAATTCTATCAAGGGAAATCATAAACTGAAGCAATCTGCTAATATTATTCTATACTACTAGTTAGATTTACTGTTATTCTTGAATACCTACAAAGCCATATATTGAGTAATTTATAGTTTAGCTTCATCTTACAAGTGGAAATATCTAATTAGAAGTTTTTCTTTGTTTATATAGAAAACGCATTTGATATTTTAAACATGTATGTACGTTAAAGGATTTGCAATTATAGTGACCTCTTTAAGCAGGTGTATATTACATATGTATATATTACACTATTAGTATCAGAGTGGTATGAAAGAGATTATTTAAGAACTTCTTTGTGTCTCTAGAGTTTCAACAAATGTACTGAAGATGATTTTGAGTTTCCATTTGCAATGACTAATCTCTCCAAAAATGGGGAAAACGTTGATTCAGGTAAGAGCCTGGAAAAGCAGTGTATCAGCTTATATGGAAACATTGTGTTATATATATCGCTAGTTATTGAAAATATAACGTATTATATCAGTATTATTGACACAAAAGCTAGATATAATACTTAATATAAAAAATAAGGCTGGACACAGTGGCTAACACCTGTAATTCCAGCATTTTGGGAGGGAGCTGAGGGAGGGGGATCACTTGAGGCCAGGAGTGTGAGACCAGCCTGGGCAACATAAGGAGATCCTGTCTGTCCAAAAAAAAAAACAACAAACAAACCCCACCACCCCCAAAACTACCTGGACGTGGTGGCATGTGCCTGCAGTCCCAGCTACTTGGGAGGTTAAGGTGGATCATTTGAGCCCTAGAGATGGAGGCTTTGAGGCTACAGTGAGCCATGATGGCGCCACTGCCCTCTAGTCTAAGCAACAGAACCAGACGCCCTCTCTCTCTCAGAAAAAGAAAAAAAAAAAAAAGAAAGAAAGAAAGAAAAAAAGATGTTGGCATATTTAATACCTGTCGTCTTTTATCTTGCAGATCCTGCTTTACAAAAAGTTAATTTCTTGCCCATGCTTGAGCAGGTCAGTGAAGCATAGTACATACAGATATAACCTGTTTAGGTAATGAACTGCTTATTTGAAGAAAACAGTCTTTAGTTATTGCATTACTAGTCTTCTGTATTTAATTGTTATTATTTGGAAGCTCTTATCAGAAGTATTTTCTTATAGAAACATCTATTTTTTTAGGTTGGTAATTCTGACTGTCACTATCAGGAAGGACTAAAAGACTCTGATTTGGAGGTCAGAAGATTTTCCATTCATATTAAATTTCTTATAATTGGAATATAACTTATTACCTATATGTATATTTCTTTTGAAGCTTCAAAAGGATTATTATTTGGTTAATGTTTTAAGATATATCCTTTAAAACTTTTTTTCCTGCTTCTGTATTTTTTGGGTTATGAAGGTTCCATTTATGTAGAGGCAATTTCGTTTTAGACCATGAAATCAAGAGGAGGGGAAATGGGTACTGTACGTGAAAAGTATAGTATCAAGAGAGTATTTTACAAAATCAGCCTTTAATTAATACATGAAATTGACTGGTTGGCTGGTTTATTGTATAAGGAATTTGTAGGACATGCTATATACTTTTGATTTTAGTTATAAAGATATTTCTTATTTATGGCATATAGATGTCTTTAAAATGAAGAGAAATTCCACAGCCTGGTAAGGTACTAGATGTTTGTTGCTGTGATTATAGTACCAAACAGTTTAAAATATATAGAACTTATTTATATATTTTTATAAGAAAAAGTTATCAACCAGCAGAAATTGATGTGATTAAAAATCTCTGATATTTACAATATAATGTGGATTTAAAAGAAGGCAGGAAATCTATCTAAAACATCAGACTTGATGAAAATTATATCTTGTGTTCACTTTTATTTTTCTTGTCATTATATTTTAAACTTCATGTCCTTTAGTGAATCTTCAAACTGTTTGTATAATCAAAGTGTTTCAAGACCATTATTAAGATTTATAGATTTTTATAGTTTGATTTATTTTAGCTTTTAACCAGCCAGATCCTCTCACTAACTAAAATATTTTTATGGAGCCATTTCATTTTATTCAGCAAGGTATAATTTAGTCAAATGACCAATAACTTTAATGAAGTAGTTAATATTGCCTTAGTAGTTTAACAGAGTTAATGTGGCTTTCAGTATGCTATTAGTGCTTAAATTGAGGAAACATTTGGTCTCAACTATTAGTATATGGATATTTTCAGTAGGCAGCCGTAGTTTGGTTATATTAGAATTTTGAACAATTAATTTTTGAAAACCTATTTTAATAGAATTCAGAGGCATTGAGCAGAGTGTATTCAAAACTGTATAAAGAGGCTGAAAAGATAAAAAAATGGAAAGTAAGTATAGAAGCTGAACTGAAACAGAAAGAAAATAAGTTGCAAGAAAACAGAAAGATAATTGAAGCACAGCGAAAAGCCATTCAAGAACTGCAAGTATGATAAAATTTTGAATTGTAAACATAGTATAGTAAGTCTTATCATAATACTGTTGAAAGTAGAGTATTATTTGGGATAAATTGGATTGATCTTGTTTTCGTGATGAATATTTTAAGGATAATGCTTTTTAAAAGTTACATCAATACTGGATACATTTTAACTTTAAGAATGAGCATAGAGGACAAGTTGTATAATGCTTAGTGCAAATGATTAGGGAAATAATAAATCACTTTATATAAAAATTGATTTAATGATTCTAATTTTTATAAAGAGTTTCAATTTTTATTCCTATTGATGTTTTATATAAATATATTCTCTTAGAGTACAATAGTTGCAGATAACACTTTAAATTTTAAACTGTGTAACTATTTATTTATTTATTTTTTTGAGAGAGAGTCTCCCTCTGTCACCCAGGCTGGAGTGCAGTGGCACAATCTCGGCTCCCTGCAACCTCCGCCTCCCGGGTTCAGGTGATTCTTCTGCCTCAGCCTCCCAAGTAGCTGGGACTACAGGCACCTGCCACCACGCCCAGCTAATCTTTGTATTTTTAGTAAAGACGGGATGTCACCATATTGGCCAGGCTCATCTCGAACTCCTAGACCTTGTGATCTGCCTGCCTCGGCCTCCCAGAGTGCTGGGGTTACAGGCGTGAGCCACCGCGCCCGGCCGAAACTGTGTAACTTTTTGTGTAGCATAAAGTGAAAAAAATGTTAAATTGTGACATTGTGTTAGCACAAAGATAAAACATTACTTCAAAATATTTAGAGAAGATAATATTGCATTAAAATATTGTTGAATGTTTTTTGGAGATGATTTAGCCATCTTTATTTTAGATTGATGAAGGCCATATTCTTAAAGGAAATCATAAGCTATTACAAAAATGTTTCATTTTTATGTGGAAAGAAAATAATTCTTTTAGACTATTGTGCATTAGTAAAGAAATACTGCTTAATGATTATATTCATGTTTTTTTTGCTAATAAGCAAAATGTGATGAACTGTTCTGTTTTATAAATTAGTTTGGAAATGAAAAAGTAAGTTTGAAATTAGAAGAAGGAATTCAAGAAAATAAAGATTTAATAAAAGAGTAAGTAGTAATTTAATGAATTTGTTCTTTCACATTTTTTATTCCAAATTTACTACTAAAATAATTTTCAAAAACGTATTGAGCACTTTCTATATGTTATATAATATGAATTTATAAGTAGAATTGTATCTGAGTGCTATGGAAAAAGGAAGACATACATTCTTGTGTTTGGCAAACTGTGGTCACTGACTAATAACTTCCTTTTTAAAATGTCAGGCATCAGGAATAAACATTCCTTGGTGTCAAAAAAGATGCCTGATAATTCTGTATCTGCAACTACCTATGTATGTTGTCTGTTTCACTGCTGCCTTGAGTACAGTACTTACAAAATAGGGCTTAATTTAGTTCCAAGTTAATTCTTACTCAAATTCCTGTTTTTGAAAATGTAACAGTTTATTTCTACAGAAAAATGATAAGTTAGAAAATTAAGTCTAACTGCCATATGTGTTAGTAACTTCAAGATAGTCACAGGTCTCATTATTCACATAATGAATGCCTAATCAGAAAGTTACCTTATTTTGTGTTTTGAAGGTTAGACATATATTAATTTGTTAATGAATGGCCCAACCTATTCTCATTATTTTCCTTAGGCAAATCTAGACCTGTCTACTGAAAATTTATTGATAGCAACTTGGGTAGAAACTTGTTAAGGAGCTGTCACTTTTATTTGTTTATTTTAGTGGCCAGTTACTAGAACTTTTACTTTTAAAGGGAGGCAATTACTAAATCATCTTTGCTAGTAGTATAGTCAACCCACTGTTTCTTCATATAGTCATTTATGAATAACGTGATATATACCAAGTATTATAATATTTTAAAAATTTCTTAAAAATTGTAACAATATATTTCATAACACATTGTGATTTTGCTTTGGAATCAGATTACACACAGGCAAACTCTTTCCTTTGTTTCAGGAATAATGCTACAAGGCATTTATGTAATCTACTCAAAGAAACCTGTGCTAGATCTGCAGAAAAGACAAAGAAATGTAAGTATCTTTCTTGTTTTATGTGATTTTATTCATTTATTTTACTGGTAGAGGTGGAGAGGGGAAGAAATTGTCTTTTTAATTTTTGGAACCAATTCTGATTTGAACAAATTATATGTGCCTCAGACTATTTTTATGTAAGTAATAAGGAGAGTCACAGTTCTTTGAGTTTTGAAAGCTCAAAAATTTTTGAAAGGTAATATATGTCAAAAGGTATATTCTTGGTATTTATAGTTAATCCTGGTTTCAGGTAAGGTATGATCTTGAGACTAATCTTTGTCTGAAACAACTAGGAAATTCAATCAAGAATAAGATACATAGCCATGCTCATAATAGAAAATAGCAGTAGAGGCTTTGCTAAAGCCATTGTATTTATGAGCAGTGGTGCAATGTTTATATTCAATCTAAATAGAATTATCAAATTTTTCCTAAAGAAACATTCTTTTGAAATATTATAATATGGTTGTGTTGTGTATGTGAAAGAACAGTGTAAAAATTTTTAAGCATGTTTTCATTTTTTTAAATTGTAAAGTAGGATTTTTTTCCCATTTTGATGGAAAAAAAATGTGTGATTATAAAAAATAATAGTCTTTATTTTTGCCATAATTTGACACTGACTTTACTTTGTTTCTGCCAAGAATCCATTGGGAAATACTGTCTACCTGCTTTTTCAGGATAGTCTCTATTTTTCTTCGGTAAAAATTTTAATTTGTATCATGCAGCTTACTACTTAACAGTTTGGGCTTAAGGATTAGACAGCCTGTGCTCAAATTTAGACTTTCAGTCTTTGTCCACCTGGGGAGCTTGAATAATTTGAGTAAATTATGTAGTCTCTCTGTCACTCTGTTTATTAATTAAATGCCTCTTAGTATTGTCCTGAGAATTAAATGTTAATAAATATGCTTAGAACAGTGCAAAGTGCTCAATAAATGTTGGGTATTTTATTATTATTATTGTCATTATTTCTAACATTGACTGTTAGGTGTTTTATTCTTTTTTTTTTTTTTTGAGATGTAGTTTCGTTCTTGTTGCCAAAGCTGGAGTGTAATGGTGCAATCTTGGCTTACTGCAACCTCCGCCTCCTGGATTCAGACAATTCTTCTTCCTTAGCCTTCCGAGTAGCTGGGATTACAGGCACGTACCACCACGGCTGGCTAATTTTTTGTATTTTTAGTAGAAACGGGGTTTCACCACGTTAGCCAGGCTGGTCTTGACCTCCTGACCTTAGGTGATCCTCCCATCTTGTCCTCTCAAAATGCTGGGATTATAGGCGTGAGCCACTGCGCCCGGCCAGGTTTTTTATTTTTAGTCCCTGCCTGTAGTACCTTGCTTTTTAAAACTGTATATATCTTCCAGAATGTACCATGCCACTACCAGCTCCTCTGCTATATCCTGTGTATTCAACATTCAAGATTAAATTTTTCTGCCTACATATAAAAAGTGGTGAAAAGTACAGTGATAGGGTAAAAGGATAGTACATTGCCTATCTTGCAGAAAATAACTTGGATTAGAGAGACAAGTCTGATAGTTCTTTCTTTTTTTTCTTTCTTTTTTTTTTTTTTAGATGGAGTCTCACTCTGTGGCCAGGCTGGAGTGCAGTGGCACAATCTCGGCTCACTGCAACCTCCGCCTCTCAGGTTCAGGTGATTCTCCTGCCTCAGCCTCCTGAGTAGCTGGGACTACAGGCACCTGCCACCACGCCTGGCTAATTTTTTTGTATTTTTAGTAGAGACGGGCTTTCACCATGTTGGCCAGGATGGTCTCCATCTCTTGACCTCGTGATCCACCCGCCTCAGCCTCCCAAAGAGCTGAAATTACAGGCGTGAGCCACTGCGCCTGGCGATAGTTCTTTCTTACATTTAGTTTTTAGCTAAGTTAGAGATCAGATGGTGAGGAAGGTTTAGAGAACCCAACATTTTTCAAGGTTGTCTCTTTAATAGACTAAAGTTGAGGTATGTCTTGATGTGACATATAGAAAGTTTTTTTTTTTTAAAGTCTTGATACTTGCCTTATTATTAGTGTAAACTCTATACAGATTCTTGCCTTAAGTTGTTGACCAGTCTTTTTGTTATTGTGGTGCTTTTTTCTTTCTTTTATTCATTCATTCAATATTTTTTTTAGTGCCTGCTATGTCACGAAATCTTCTAGATGCTGATGAAAAACAGCAGTGAACAAAGTCTCTACTCTTACAAGAGTATATATTCCATGGTGTATATGTGCCACATTTTCTTTATCCAGTCTGTCATTGATGGGCATTTGGGTTGGTTCCAAATCTTTGCTATTGTAAATAGTGCTGCAATAAACATGTGCATGTGTCTTTATAGTAGAATGATATTTAATCCTTTGGGTATATACCCAGTAATGGGATTGGTGGGTCAAATGGTATTTCTGGTTCTATTTCCTTGAGGAATCACCACACCGTCTTCCACAATAGTTGAACTAATTTACACTCCCACGAACAGTGTAAGTGTTCCTAGGCCGGGCACAGGGGCTCACGCCTGTAATCCCAGCACTTTGGGAGGCTGAAGCAGGCAGATCACGAGGTCAAGAGATCGAGACCAGCCTGGCCAACATGGTGAAACCCTATCTCTACTAAAATACAAAAAAAATTAGCTGGACGTGGTGGCACACGCCTGTAGTCCCAGCTACTTGGGAGACTGAGGCAGGGGAATTGCTTAAACCTGGGAGGCAGAGGTTGCAGTGAGCTGAGATCATGCCACTGCACTCCAGCCTGGCAGCAGAGCAAGAGCTCTTCTCAAAGAAAAAAGTTCCTATTTCTCCACAGTCTCGCCAGCATCTGTTGTTTCCTGACATTTTTAATAATCGCCATTCGAACTGGCATGAGATAATATCTCACTGTGGTTTTTGATTTGCATTTTTCTAATGACCAGTGATGATGAACTTTTTTTCATATGTTTGTTGGAAGCATAAATGTCTTCTTTTGAGAAATGTCTGTTTATATCCTTTGCGCACTTTTTTAATGGGGTTCTTTTTTTTCTGTAAAAGAATGAGTTCACGTCCTTCGCAGGGACATGGATGAAGCTGGAAACCATCATTCTCAGCAAACTAATACAGGAACAGAAAACCAAACACCAAATGTTCTCACCCATAAGTGGGAGCTGAACAATGAGAACACATGGACACAGGGAGGGGAACATCACACATTGGGGCCTGTCGGGAGATGGGGGCAAGGGGAGGGAGAGCATTAGGACAAATACCTAATGCATGTGGGGCTTAAAACCTAGATTATGGGTTGATAGGTGTGGCGAACCACCATGGCGCGTGTATACCTATGTAACAAACCTACACATTCTGCACATGTATCGCAGAACTTTAAAAAAAAAGAGTATACAGTCTAGTGAGGGGGGAGGATACAGATCATAGTGAATAAATAAAATGTATGTTAGGTGATAACTGCTTAAGGAGATAATATTTTGGGACAGTGTGATTGGGAAGTTTTTTCTGATTAAGTGACATTGGGTAGAGACCTGAATAAAGTAAGGGAGTGGGCCATCTATTTTGGGAAAGAATATTTCAGGCAGAGGAAGCAGTTAAGTGCAAAGTCCCTGAGATGAGAGCCTGTTCAATCTTTTCAGGTCATGATAATGAGGTCACTGTTCTGTATTTCTGATTCTGTATGTATTTTTCATCTTTTTTCTCACTGTACTCCACTCAGGATACTTTTTTCTTTTTTTTTTTTGGGCGGGGGGTGGTCTCACACTGTTGCCCAGGCTGGAGTGCGGTGGTTCCATCTTGGCTCACTATAAACCCCGCATCCCAAGCTCAAGCAATCTTCCTACCTCAGCTTCCCAAGTAGCTAGGACTACAGCCGCACAAAACCAGGCCTGTCTAATTTTTGTATTTTTTTAGAGATAGGATTTCGCCATGTTGCCCAGGATAGTCTCAAACTCCTGAGTTCAAGTGATCTTCCCACCTTGGCCTCCCAAAATGTTGGGATTATAGGTATTAGCCACTGCCCTGGCCCACATAATTTCTTCTAACCTCTCTTCCAGTTTACTGATTTTGTATTTAGTTACTTCTTGTCTGTTTTAAAATGTATCAGTTGATGTCTTAATTTCTGTTACTGTATTTACTGGTTGAGTATTAGCTGGTTCTTTAAAAATTTGTAGGGTCACTTTCCAGAATTTTAAGTTCTTTGCTGACTTTTTAAAGCTCTACTTTTTATCTCTAGGAACATAATAAACATAGTTGTATCCAGTAATGCCAATGTCTGGAATATCTTGGGGTCCATTTCTGAGATTTTTTTCCCATAGATCCTAGTTTTATTGGTTATCTCATCAACTATCTTAGATAATAATTAATAATTTGAGACTTAGAATGGTTAAATTTTCCTAGTTCATTGAATGTTCAGCAATTCTGGATTATGTCCTGGACATTTTGAATATTATGTTGTGAGAATCTGAGTCCTCTTCGGATTTCCTAGAGAATGTTTGTTTATTTTCTAACAGGCAGTCAGCTCACTTAGGTTCATAATAGGTTCTGTCTTGCCTTTTCAGTGTGGGAGTTCCAATATCAGTTCAATTTTTAATGCCTTTGCTGTGCTGCCCCTGGGTCTGTTTAATGTATGCTCTACTCAAGGATAGTTCTGGGTCTACTCAAGGATAGTTCTGGGTTTTATGTAGATTCCAGTTTGCAAAGCTTTTGTCCCATGCATGTATAACCTCTCCCATTATCAACATGTCTCACCAGAGTGGCACATTTGTTACAATTGATGAACCTACGTTGCCACATCATGATTGTCCAAAGTTCATAGTTTACATTAGTGTTCACTCTTGGTGTTGTACATTCTATGGGTTTGGACAAATATATCCCCCATTATAGTATAATACAGAATAGTTTCATTGCACTAAAATTCTGTGTTCTGCCTGTTGATTCTCTACACCTTACCCTGGTAACCACTGATCTTTTAACTGTCTCCATAATTTTGCCTTTTCCAGAATGTTAGGTAGTTGGAATCCTACAGTATGTGGCCTTTTCAG